TTCCTTCTTGGTTAGCTGCGGCTGGGGATGTTTTGTTGCTCTGATCTCTTCTTGTTGTTCTTGTTTCTTTTTATAAAAGGAATAATCAGTATAGGCAAATGTAAATTCTGGAGGAAATCCTGTGATCCAGATGGTGACGTTTCGGGGAACATTCTCACAGGTACATGTGTCGTGTACACGCGCAGTGAAGGTTTTGTATTGGGATGATTTTATATGGATCATATTCTCTATGCTGTTCCCGTAAACTCCAGGGAAGGTCATGGGCGCCTTTCTGTGTTCATGAATATAGGTGTTTGCAGTCCTAGTTAATGGCTGTGTGCTGTCCTAGTCTGTGGGCCAAGGCATTTTTACACGAGGATGAACTAGAATCACCTGAGGTTCTAGAACTGCCCTCTGTTCCCCCTCTTGAAGGAGTCTACTGTAGGAAGGAAAGAGGAAGAAAAAATTAGCTCAGCTGCCTGGGAGTTGTAACTGGTCATGTCCAGAGAGCCTGAGGGAAGAGTGTAAGGCCCTGCAGGCACTATGGCTACAGGTGAGAGCCCGGAATGCCAGTGTCACAGGTCGGATAACAGCAAGGGTGCAGGTGTGCGGGCTGTCCTTTACTCATTCATTCATCAAATACTCCTTAACTCTTCTAGGGACAGGGGATACGGAAATGAACATGATGCACTCTTTCTTTGCCCGCATGGAACTTATATTCTAAGTGGAAGAGACAGACAATAAACAAGCCAGTGAATGAAAAATTAAAATGGTGACAGGAACTAAGAATGCAGATCAGGAAAGTGAGTGGCTTGGAGGTGGGCAGTCGATATTAGGGGTCTAGGAAAGACCTATCGCAAAGGTGAAATGTAAGCAATGAAAGAAAAGTAAGAGGGACAATGTCACATGTGATTGGGATTCGTGGGTGGTGTGGGCAAAGGAAAAGAAAAGTGCAAAGGCCCTGAGGCAGGACCCAGCCCTTGCAGAATAACAGAGGGCAGTGTGGTGGATGTCAGTGAGGTGGCGGGAGGAGGGAGGTGAGAATGGAAAAGAGGGTGGATGGGAAGATGTTGAAGGACCTGGAGGTCAGATAATTTGGATTCTACCCTAAGTTCGTTGGGGATCTTTTGAGCAGGAAAGTGACTTTATTGCTTCATTATTTAAAGAATCCACCTGGGGCGCCTGGCTGGGTTAGTCAAAGGAGCAGGAGACCCTTGATCTTGGGGTTGTAAGTTCAAATCCCACGTTGGGTGTAGAGATTACTTAAGTAAATAAACTTAAAAGAATCCTCCCAGCTGCTCTGTGGAAGATGGATAAGGGGGGATGCAGCCCCGAGGCAGGTGTAGACTGCAGTCCCTCCAGGGTGCCCTAGCAGCCCTTCTGTGCCAGGTTGTCCTGATGGCCCTGTAGCCTGAGACCCCTCAGGGGGCTCTAGGATATTGGGTTTCTGGACAGGGCACTGTACCAGGCTGTGACGCAGGGGGATCCATTCCTAGTGAGGTCCCTGGAACAGGTGTTTGGCCTCACACCGATGCTGCAGTGACAAGGCCAGCCCCGGTGGCAGGGCGTTGCGCTCACAAGGAACTGGGCTGCTCGTCAGGCCAGCTGCACAGCCCCACTCAGTTCCTGTCAGCTTAGAGACATCTGGGGCTGGCCCCGTACCAGGTGGGGACACAAGAACGAGTGAGGGTGGGGAGGCATGACTTTGGAGTGGGGGCCTATGGGGTTGAAACCCTCCCAGGGCTGTCCAGGTGTAATGGGTCCCTGCCACCGCCTGCCAGATCTTGGAAGTTCATCAGGAGGCCCTATCTGGGCTCAGTCCCATAAACTCTGCAGGTGTTTTCGACACCACATCACCTTTCAAAGCTGTGTCCTTGGAACAGCGTCTGGGAGCGGGAAAAGCCAGCCGAACGGAACCCACGTTCCAAGGACTGGGAGTGGGTGAAGAGCGTCGGCGTGCCCGAGTCCAGCTCACGGGACAATCGGCAGTCACATCTTTTAGATGACCTTCCCCCGCAGGGTCGCTCACACTCAGCTGTGACCACAGACCCACAGACCGCACCACCCCCAACTGTGTCTCCTGTGGATGTGCTCTCCTAGCTCCCAAACCAGCACCACTGCCTGGGAGCGCTCCGTGGTCACTCCTCGGGCTGTGGCAGGAGAGGACACCTAGGCCAGCTGTCAGGAGACAGGTGTGGCTCATGTCATTTCTCATCGTTAGTCTCACACCCGCTGCAGAAGCAAGCCTCAGGCATCCTCTATAATCCTGTGCATAAATATGTCCGTATGGGTCTGTACAGGATAGACTGTTGGGGGAAAAAGAGCAAAGCACACCACCATTATGCCTTAAAACTGAGCAACAGCGTCTGACAGTATCACGTGCACCCAGGCAGAGTTCACATTTTCAACTCCAGCCTCTTTCATTACATTTTATTTATTTATTTTTAAGATTTTATTTATTTGACAGAGAGACACAGTGAGAGGGGCCACACAAGCAGGGGCACAGGGAACCCGATGTGGGACTCGATCCCAGGACCCTGGGACCAGATCTGGGCGGAAGGCAGATGCCTAACAACTGAGCCACCCAGGTGCCCCCCATATTTTAAATTAGCTTTTGATTGGAAGGGACATCCTGAATACTTTCTATAGAACCAAATGAAGATGAAAAGCATGACGAGTGACTCCCAGTGGTACTTACCACGTGACCGTGGCACCCGACATTTACATAGAGCCAGAGGGGGGCTGGCCCCAGCGCTGGGGGGCTGCTGGTCCCTACACGTGCCCACCGGACCTGCTCAGCCTGTGTACCTGGACTCCCGTGAGGGGCCCGGGGAAGCTCATCCCTCATCCCATGGAGTCGGCCCGGCAGGCTCTCTGCACTGCGTGACCAAGGGGGCCAGGCCACAACCAGTGCCCTACTTGAATTTCTTCCCATTGTGCCCTACCTGTCATACACATGTGTCATTTATATATATAAGCACACATGTGACTATGACAGGTGTCAATCATGTCAGTGTGTATATATGTCAGCTGTATTTATCAACATACTTCACGTATGCAGGCATGTCAATGGACATGTACATCTGGATAAATGGCCACAGAGAATTATTGCACCGTGTGGTCAAAGCCAAGTGCAACTTTCAGGTTTAAGGGTCCTATTCACCTTTCACATGATTGAGTTGTCTGTTTTGTTTTGTTTTGTTTTTAAAGATTTTATTTATTTGAGAGAAAGAGAGAAGAGAAGATGAGCAGGGGAGAGGGGGAGTGGAAGAAGCAGGCTTGCCGCTGAGCAGGGAGCCCGACATGGGGCTCTATCCCAAGACCCTGGGATCATGACTTAAGCCAAAGGCAGACACTTAACCGCCTGAGCTGCTGTGGTGCCGCTCAAACTGTGTTTCAATTAGAAGATAATCCTAAATGTTTTCTCTTGGGGAAACCAAAACCTTCACAGGTACAAGATTTAGAACAAAATTATTCAAGATGCCACCTAGGCACTATCTTTCCTGGGAGGCTAATGTTCCGAACACGGAGCAGAATTGAGAACTCTGTGGTTGAGTGCTGGTGTCCCGAGGGTTGATGTCACACAGCCTGAGTTCTGCTGGGTCTGAAAGACCAAGTCGGGGCCTGTCCATCCTGCGAGCTCTGGCAGAAGACGGCACTTCTGAAAGTCAGGTCTTTAAACGTGCACGGCAGCTCTCTGTGAAGATGGCAGGGGGACCCACCAGGGCTTTATGACGGAAGGGTCTTGTTCCCTAACATTGGTCTTTTCTGCTGTGTTTTGCGGTTGGCCCGGGGCTAACCGGCTTGGGGCACCTGGACCCAGGGATTGTCTACCCTTCTCTCAGAGCATTCGTCTCCTGATTATTTCAAAGCCTCTGAGTAGCCTGACTGGTGTCACAAGGTTCCCACCGTTTAACTAAATCACTTATTCCAGGTAAATTGGATTTTAAGGAAATCAGATTTAGGAGAAAAAATGGCAGAAAAAAGCGGGTGGTCTACATACAGACAGGAGGTACAGGGGCTCCTGAAGAAGCTGGTTCCTGGTCTGTGCAGGGCACTCCTCATCTGAGCTTGGGGAACGGTTTGGCTGGAAGCTTCTAGAATCTTCTTAAATGCTGAGATGATCGCATGATCCAGTTGTCAGTGGAAGGACTGAAGTTTTTTTTCCCCCTGAAGTACATGTCTGTACAATATGGGGTTGCCTATTCTCAGCTTCACACAGCATAACATTTTAAAAGAGACTTTCCCTTAATTATTCCCCTGGGAGATTTCTGAGCCTGATGTACAGTGAGGGTCGGTTGTGCCTCTGCGTGCGGATTGATCTCAGAGGCCCAGGCTTTTGGAAACCACCTGTGCAAGGGCAGGCCTGGGTGTGACTTACAGCCACACACTTCTGCCCATGAAGGGGAGAAAAAGTCTTCCCACTCCCTGATCTTCTGATTTCCTTCACTCTGGACTTTGCATTTCAGTCACTCTCCACCTGCAAAGAAATCCCCTTTCTCCCATGGCCAGCCTCGGCCCCCAGGCCTCCCTGGGAGCCGTCACACACGCTTACATGTGGAAGGCTCTGTGGTTTGGGGCTCCTGCTTCCCCACGGAAGGACGTGTGCGGAGGCGGCAAGGGGGCTGGGAGGAGGGAGGCCGCAGTCACCGGCCGCCCGCACTTCTCTGCGCAGGTGTGCGAGACACTTCGACGATGGCCACTGACGTGGAGGTTATGATTGCCATTGGCTGCGGCTTACTGCTTATCGCGTGGTTGCTGATTTGCTGCGTCCTCTGTCTTTGCTGCAAAGTGTTCAGAACACTGAAGTGAGTGGGAAAGGGAGGAGGGCGGAGAGGTTTGTACAATCAGTAGCGTGATTTGCCCAGCTGAGAACCTCCAGGCAGTTCTAAGAAATGGGCTTAAAAAAAAAGAAATCTGGGGCAACTGAGTGGCTCATTCAGTGAAGTGACCGATCTTGATCTCAGCTCAGGTCTCAGTCGTGGGTTCGAGCTCCATGCTGGGCTCCATGCTGGGTTTGGAGCCTACTTTAAAAGAAAGAAAAATCAAATCTAATGCTTACTATACAATCTCCGAAGGGACATATGACAATCGATGGCATCAACACAAAATGCAGGTGACTTGGTTTGGAAGAAGGCCATCCTGAGACTCTGCTGTCTCCAGCTCCCTGCGGTCAGGCTCCCAGCGACAGAACCTCAGAGAGCGGTGCTCTGGCAACTGTCCAAAGAGAGGTGGCCTGCCCCCCTGTCTCCAGGCCACAGGCATGTTGTGTGAAATACAGGCTCTTTATGTGGAACTCGGCTGCCTCCTGACTTTGCTCACTCCGGATGTTTGCAGGCCCCTCCAGGGCAAACGCTGTGCTGTCTCTGATCCCCAGGTACTCAGAACTCATTAGGTGTCGGGGCCATGACCCCAACATCGCCTTTGCCGTTCCGGCAACGCTTTCCGCCAGACAGACCTCTCAGCTCGGAGCAGTAAATGCTGCGCAGTATTGCTTGTGTATGACAATACGTGACACACTGCTTACTACCCACCAGCATAAGCTCTCCATGCCGATCTCAAGGCAGCTTCGGGGAGCTCTAAATGTAGTTTTCTGAGCTGCAGGGCACACCTCTAGGAGGCGGTAGCACATCTGCTCTTGACAGGTGGGCAGACTGCAGCTCAGAAGGCAGGAGTGACCCTCCCGGTGTCAGAGAGACAGGGGCTCTGAGAGTTCCACTCCATCCCCTCCTCCTGGTCTTCATGCTTCCCCAGCCCAAGCTTCCCGAACCCTTAGGACACCGCACTTACTCTCTGTCCCTGCAAAGAAGCCCAGGCCCTGTCCACTGTGGGAGGGCTGGTTCCTGTCCTCACCCAGCTGACACCTCAGTGGGGCCTCCTGTGTAGGGGTGATGGCAGTCGGGGGCTATGTGCACACAGGGGACAGCGGGCAGCAGGTGGGTCAGAGGCAGAGCGAAAGTGTGGGGATATAATCGGGAGCAATCCGGCAGGGCTTTGACCTGCAGGCACACGGTCAGGGGACCGCCTCCACCAGCCCCGGTCCTGTCGGCCCCACATGACCACCCAGGGTGGCACAGCTGCACGTCCCTCCTCACACAGCAGCACCCACCGCAGCCCTCGGACGCTGAGGCTCGTGTGGCCATCTCTGATCCCGGTGACGACACTCTGTCCTGAGGCTGGCCTCTAGATGCCGCTGCAGCCTGGCCTGGCGGGCACCGCTTGGTGGCAGCTGTGGGGCCGGGAGGGCAACACCCACCTTAGCGTGGGCTGCTTGGGGCACGGTGCTTCCCCAGGCTCAGAAAAGGTGACTCCAGCAGAAAAAGGCTCCCTGGGAGCGGCAGGGAATCTAAACACACCCCATCAGATCCAGACCTGACTTTCAGATCAGAAAGAAGCGGTGGGTGGATCCTGACCCGCCCTCAGAAACAGGACCGCAGAGAAAAAGTACGGGGTCATCACGGTACCCGCAGAACTTCCGCTCAGGTCACACCACTAATTATCACCAGGTCCTCACATTTCTGCTAAGGTCACGTGGAGGTGAGGCAGCTCCGGAGTGCCATCAGTCTGGGCCTCTGTGCTTTACGTCCCCAAGTACCTTGCGGAGCATTCTGGCTGGTCACTCACTCGCTGGGTGACCCTAAGCAAGGCATTTAATGCCGCGAGTCTCAGGTTCTTCCCTAGAGAAACAGGAGTCATAGTGGCGTCCCCGCCTCAGATCGTTAAGGGGAATAAGAAGGAGAAGGCAGGATTGCTAGCGTGACACAGCTGCCGGGTCAGACACCCCTCCTTCCTGCCACCAGCTCACGTGACCGAATGGACAGACGCGGGTTGTAGTCTACCCAGCTCAGGTTCCAGGCCAAGATTTTAAAAGTGGAAATAAAGTTTGTGGGCAGAGTCCCCAAGCCTGTCCGCAGGCCTGGCACCTTGCAGACAAAGGTCTTCTGTGTAAACCCACCTCCCCGCCCCGCAGACGCCCTGCCTGGCCTCAGCTGCATTTCAGCTCGGAAGGGAAGACGGTCTCTCATCGGCACGGCAACTGCCCACAGCGCACAGGCAGGAACTTTCAGGTCCCTTCTCTAAGATGAACGAAGCTGCTTCCTACACAGATGTTCTCGTGCCTGCTGGCTCTGGCGGCTCTTGGAACGTGGGTGCATCTGTTTCCCCCGCGGACACGGCTCTGTGTGCAAAACAACACACAGCGAGGGACAACACAGTCGGTGCCGGGAGCTGGGCGGTTTATTTGGTTTTCTTGCCTCTGCCAGAGGAGCTCTTGCCAGCCCCAGGGGCCCTGCGGAGGCACGAGGCCGAGGTGTGGGGACCCTGCCGATGGCTCGCCACTTCCCCGCAGCAGCAGCAGCACGGTGCCCTGGGCCGGGGACAGCAGCGCAGTGGGAATGGTCACCGTCTCAGCAGTTGGGAGCCTGAAGGGCCACCTGGAGACCCTTGGCCAGGGCCAGCGGCGTGGGGCTCTCGGCCATGCAGCTCACACGCAGGCCCTGGGCGGTCAGCGCACGGGCTGTGCTGGGGCCGATGGCGGCAAACTGTGGGGGGAGAGAGGGGGAGCTTCAGCGCACCTGCAGGGCCGGGAGGACAGTGGGGCAGGGCCTGGGGCCAGTCGGGTCGCTGGGGCTCACGTGCGGCCACCCCTCCTACCGTCTTGGCCCCCTCTCCACAAGCCTTAGCGGCCCACGGTTCTGCCCTGGTGGGGGGGGGCACGTGGAGCAGAGAGTAAAGTGGGAGAGATGCTCTGGGCGTGGCGGGGGCCTCGGCTGCACCCCCCCATGCATCCCCCCACCCCAGGAAAATTCAGCAGCCGAGGGTCAGGTTCCCATCCTAGCCCTGCAGCACAGTGGCCCTAGCAAGTGACCTGCCACCTCTGGGCCTCTGTCCCTTCATCTGTAAAACAGGGTAACAGCCTTCCCCAGGGGCCGGTGCGAGTAAGCACCTGGCTGGGGCCCCACCACAGATGAGTGCTCGGCGGGGGAACACGGTTACTCTGAGTGAGATGCTCGGTGGCCTGAGCGTGTCAGCGGGACTCCTCTCTCCCTGAACATTGCGTGTTTGATGGTCACATGCAGAGCCTCGCTTGGGGCTGAATGTGGTTTTCCATTGTGGTGACCCCGGCCCTTGCCCAGGTGTCCTCACAGGTCACTTAGCCCCTCTGGCCCTGTTTCCTCACCTGTAGAAGGGGTACAGCTGCCCTTGTATGGCAGGCTAGCACGGGGGGAAGTAAGGCCTGTTGCTCTGGCGGGGAGAGCACGCACGTCACCCCACCCCAACCCTGGGTGCATGCACCCCCGCCCGGGGGAAGGTCTGGGAGGATGGTAGCCCTTACCCGGCGCCCCCTTCCATCCTCTCTCTCGGGGCCAAGTGTGGTGCAGGGAACAATCTCAGGACACTTTCTGGAGCACGTCAGAACCACAGGACAGAGGCTGCTGCCCCCAGAAGCCCAAGCTCCCCGCTCCCCGCTCCACCTCATGATGCAGCTGTTCCTCGAGAAACTCCGAGGAAAAGATGGTGCTGGGCCCCACCTCACAGCAGACACACTCGTGAACTCGAAGTGGCTCCCAGACCTAAGTGTGAGAGCGCAGACTGTCAACACAGAAGGAACACAGGGCGAGTCTTCACGCCTGGGATTAGCTCTGCTGCTCACGGCCCAAGTAGCAAAGGGAAAGCCACGTAAGTGCATCTTTACCAAAATGGAAAAACTGTCCTGCTTCTGAGGACACCGTCACAGAGGGGAAAAGACAACTCAGAGGACAGGGAAATTTCTGCACATTGTACATCTGTGGAGGAGCCTGGATCCAGGAACCAAGAACTCGCCCATCCCAGCAGCACCAGCCACAAGACACACGGCAAGGATGTGAACAGACACTTGTCCCAAGGACAAACAGAATGGCCAGCACACGTGGGGACAGCTGCTCGGCGTTGTAGGTCGTAGGGAAATCCAAGTCAGAACTACCCCCTGGCCGCCGGGACGGCTCTGATTGTGAAGACAAAGATGACAAGTTCTGCGAAGGACATGGAGGAACCGGAACCTTCCCACACGGCTGGTGCGGAAGTGGAGAGCTACAGCCGCTCAGGAAGACACTAATTCTTCAAAATTACCAAAGTTAGACCTAAAGTGACCATGCGGCCCAGCAATTCCCCTCCTTAGTTCATGCTCAAGAGAAATGGAAATATGCGTCCGCTTCAAAACTGTAGTCAGGTGCCCAGCATCACTCCTGCCTGCCCGGGAGCGGACCCAGCGCCAGTGCCCGTTGCTGAGGAGCAGATGAAGACGTGGTGCTGTGGCCCCAGCATGGACTCTCCCACGGCCACAAAAAGAAGCAAAGTCCTGAAAGGCCACAGCCCGGGGGAGCCTCGAAAGCACCACGCTGATAAGCAGAGCAAGGCAGTCCTGAGAGCCCAGAGAGCAGCTCTGTGGAGACTGCGGTTACCAGGCTGCCGGGCCCGTCACAGCGGCGAGAACTGGGGGCAGCCCAGCACCCCAGCTTCTCCCAGCCTCCAGGGAGGAAAGGGCGGACTATGGGCTGGTCACTAACTGCCTGAGCATGTCAGGTTCTAATCTTCTCAATCTTTCCAACCCTGAGCATCTCCTCCCGTCATTTAACCTCTCTGGGCCTGAGCTGCTTCACCTGTGGTCAGGACAGTGGTCCCAGTTTTGCCTGATTCCTACCACTGGACCGGTGGGCGCATTCTACAAGAGACTGCCTGGAAATGTTCCATCAGCTGGCCATGGCTCAGGTGTCACCACGGCTAACAACGTGGCACCTGTCTTCCTGGGTTCAAATCCCTTCCTCCCGTGAGACTTAGGGCAAGACACACAACTGCTCTGGGCCCAGTATCCCCTGCAGAACAGGGAGCCAGCGCTGAGTCCGCAGGCCGTGAGACACACCCGGAGTAAAAGCCAAGGGCGTTCACTGTGTATGAGGACGGGCGTGCTGGCGGCCCGTCCTCCGCCCTCTCCTCCGTCCCACTGCAGCCAGTTCAAGAGCCTTCCCGTCACAGGCCCCAAAAGCCTCGTCGATACTTGTAGATGCCCAGCAAATGGGGTCCCTCACAAGGGGAATGTCAAGCTTTTGAATTAAAAGACATGAAAAGAGGGAATGGCTTTTAGAATAGATAAAGCCAAGACGTTTCGATGGGAAACCAGGGAAAGGATGCTAGGACGCGTGCCAGGTTCTGGCCAAGGACTGGCCCGAATTCTCATCCGGTCCTGAGACTCCTCTGTCGGAGAAGACCACAGACAGCAGCCCCCCTCAACTGCAGCTCCCTGAGCAGCCCCTGCCCCCTTACTCGCGGTTTCACTGTCCACACTGCCAGTTCCCCTCAGTCAACCGCAGTCCAGCCCAGCCTCACGCTGCGTCACTTCTCTCCATCACCCCCCTCCCCTTGTCTCGTCACGGAGACACGTTCCCATCTCACATCTCGGGAGGAGGAGGGTGCGTGCACCACATCAAGGCGTCCTGAGAGTTCACGTCACTGTGATCACAAGACACTGCTGTAACGGCTTTATTGTTAGTGGTTGTTAATCTCGGACGGGGCCTAATGTAGAAATTAAACTTCATCACAGGGATGTATGTATAGGAAAGAATACACTCTGTCAGGACTGGGTGGTAGCTGTGGTTTCAGACATCCACCCGGAGGTCTTACCCCCGCAGATAAGGTGTGACTGCGTGTCTCTAAAGGCCACAGAGGAATCATCGTCTTCATGGTACAAATGAGGAAACAGGCTCAGAGAGATTAAGTAACTTGTCCAAGAGCACCAGCCAGGAAGTGGTGCTGGAGAATTCTAGAGCCCGGCCGTTCCAGGGCTACGAGTGGACATCATGGTGTCTGCTAGGTTAGGAGTGCTCTGACTTTACATGGAAACTCTAGGATAATTGGCAAGAATTTTAAAAAATCTGAAAAGACCAAAAGCCCACTGAATACCTCACCTTAATTCGATCGATGCTGTCACCAGATAACTCTTGAATGTGCCTGAGGCTGTATGTAAGGCCGGAGGGACTGAAGAACGTGATGCTGGCCGGAACGCCCTGCAGGGAGAGCACAAGACCAGTCTGTTGGCACAGGCCAAGAAGAGAGAATGTTCCCCTGGTTCTTCTAGCCAGGTGCCATCAGCTCCGGAGCCCCAGGAGGCAGGCCCCACAGAGTCACAGCAGGAGGGTTCCTGGTGGCCACGGCCGCCTCTGCTCCCTAGGCCAAAGCCAAGTTCAGGTGAGGCACCATTTAGAGGGCTGGGTGCCTTTGGGGAGGCTGGGTGCTGCTCCTCATCGCTCTGCAGGCCCACAGGTCTGTCTGTCTGGCCAGAGGACATGGCAACCGTGGACCCCCATGCCCAGCCGAGCAGACGGTGCCACGAGCTCACATGGCCAGAGTGGCCCTGATGAGTGAGATGGCAGTCCAGGCCCGCTCCCTGTCAGCTCTGCATCCCTTCTCAGGAGACAGAAGGCGCACTGGCTGCCAGCCTTTCTGTTTCTGTCTGCACTACGGGACGTGCAGAGCCAGCAAGCCATTCGGAAGCCTGTCCTGGGAGAGGGAGGGGAGGCAGCCCACTGAGTACAGATGTGGAAAAGCCTCGAACAGGCACCACCCATCATCCTGCCTGAAGTCTCCAGAGGCCCCTGTGGCTTCCCAAATTCAATGCAGACCCCTCGGTGGGCACTGTGGGCCTTCCCTGGGCCCTGCCTCCCCTCCCAGCCTCTGCCCCTGCGGCTTCCCCAGTGCCCCACACAATGGACAGTCGCATGAGGGCCCCTAGCTGCCCAGGCCCACTAGGTCTGGGGTGGAATCCACAGGGCTTTATGCATATTATCTCCTTTCATCCTTCTAGAAACCTTACAGGAGAGATCTGTTCCCATTTCGCAGATACAGAGATGGAGCCTTGGGAAGTCATGCAACTGGGGATGGTGGGACCATGCACAGGGGTTTGGGCCTCTTGTCCCCAGGCCTCCACCACTCAGGTGCCTGCCCCCCTCAATCCCCCCACCCCCTCGCCTGGAACTCCCCCTGCAAGCACCACCCACCTGCTTAGAATAGTAGCTGTTGAGGTTCACTTGGATTCCTGGGTGTGGGATCTTCTGATAGACAGTTATGCTTTCCATGGGGATCCCTGGGTACAATCAAAAGCAGAAAACAGGCTTCGTTCCACTGTGAACACTGGGCTCCCTCCTGAGACTGTCCTCTGTACAGGGACCTGCCCCAGGGTCCGTCCACACCAGCACTACCCATACTCTTGGCGAAGGCTGTGACACCCTGCGGGCTCCTAGCTACGGTCAAGACAGCAGCCTGCACCCCACACCGAACATGACCATAAGGGGCGGCCCACCCTACCCTGGGGGCTCCACACAGCCAACCCCGAACGCGGACTGCAGAGGCTCCTGGCAGCCCTGAGGGGGCAGACCGGGGGACTGTGCCCAAAAGCCAATGCACTGTCGTCACCTCTGTCCTTGAGCATTTTCGGCAGGATTTCTCCTTTGACGGTTCCACAGGGAAACAGAAGGGGCAATGCCGGTGACTCCCCTGTGGATAAAGAACCAGATTTTGTTAACCCTTTCAGGAAGGGGGTGCACGTGCCCGGGACACGGAGCAGCAGCTCCAGCCCACCCGGTGACTGTGAGTGGGAGGGAAGAAGCTGACCTTGCTGTAGGAAGATCGCAGAGGATTCGGCCACGGAGCTCAGAAAATGGGGATCCCCGCATGCCGAGGCCGCTATTCCCCAGACCCCTCCGGCCCCTCTGGTCCTGATGCGGCGCTGGGCGGCAGGCACGAGCTAGCATGCCGCTCTGTACCTGGCTGGAGTCAGAAGCCAGGGCCCACGCTCACAAGGCGGCAGGAAAACAGCAGCCACACGTGGCTGGGCAGCCATTCCCAGAGAGAGACGAGCTGCCTGCCTACTGTCCCCTCAGGACGGTGGCCACCCGGCTAAGTGCCCACAGGGTGGATGGGTGGCTATGGAGGGACCCGGCCTGCTGAGAAGGGCCCTGCCTCCCACCCAGTTCCCTGTCTCCACTCTAGGAAGACCTAAGGGTGCGTCCAGCTCCAGGCTCTCTGCAGAATGAAGACGGCATGTGGTCTGAGCTCTGACCTGAGACATTACCATCCAACAAAACCGATGGGCGAAGCCTCCCCAAATGTGAACATTTTGATCGAACTAACCAATCCCCTCTGACGTCCGTCCATCAGTTGGAAGAAGTCTTGGTGGCTGTTGCTCACGCACAAGCGCATTATTCTGTCCCCATCCGATCTCCCCAAACACCTCTGTGGGGACTGCAGTCAGAGGAAGGAACAACCCAAGCTCTTCCCGTCCAGCACCATCTCCCCGAAGGCCAAGCCCAACCACAGGGACAACTTCCTTTTTCCAGGTTATTCAATAACTACATACTGGTCAATGTGTTCTTGATTTAAGCTGCTCTGTAACTATCAGCACGGAAATAAAAGAACACAAGGAATTGGGAAAAATTCGAATGTAGACAATAGATGCCCACTGATTGCTCTTTTCCAGTGGGAGGAAATGTTTCATGTGCTGTAGATGCCGTCCTTGGAGACAAATTTCCAAAGTGATGTTCAGGTGCAACTTTCTTACCCAGAGCCCAGGCGTCCCTCCAGTGTCATCTATCCATGAAGTTAGGTGTGGGGTATGCAGGATTCTTGGGGCCAAAGCTGCTCCCACAGAACCCCACAGCCACCTGCTCTGGGGCAGCTTCGAGAATCTAGCAGAAAAACCAAGGGCCTGCCAGTCCAGCAAGACGTGTGCAAGAGGCCTTTGGAAGATTCCAGCATGTGCAAGAGGCCTTTGGAAGATTCCAGCATCTGCTCCTCAAAGCATCTCTTTGGAAGATCTAGCCCAATATTGAATTGCTCGTGCTTATTCTCGGATAGCTGGCCACTAACTCAGAAAATGGGAGCTTAGCATGTGTGTCCTGGTACAGGGCAGATGACTGTCTTCTCTCACCATACCATCCGTGCCTGGAGAGCCAGGCCACGCGTGCAGGCCCAATCCGCCCAGCTGACTTTGTGGAAACCAGTGACACTCTCAGCAAAGGAGGAAAACCTGAAAATGCCCCAGTAGAATTCTCTTCTGCCAAGTGGAGTTCTACCACAACTATCCTTCCTGGGACCTGCCCTCTTCAAGAAGTCAGAGGCAAAGAACCCATCTTTTGTGGGGAAGTTTACTGTCTGCAGATTTTTAACTCACACAGGCCAGTGCTGATGCTGGCTGGTTCTGCAGAGGTGTGAGAATTTTCCCGGAACAACAGGGAGAGATGGGGGCCTGGCAGGGGCCTCACTCAACAGAGAGGACTCAGAATGGTGACTCCCAGGGCTCAGAGGCCGCCCATTCGTTTAACAGGGCTGTGGGGGTGAGGGCCAGCAAGAGTGCTGAAAATCCCAGGAGAGGGTTGTGTAGAGGGGCTGGGGACTCCATAAATAGTCAATGTGGAAATTAAGGTAAAAAGCCTGATTTTTTAAAAAAAAATGCCATTTCACTGGAGGACATGTTTGTGGCCGGAAAGCTCCATCTACTGCCAGGTCGGCACTGATATCAGCCTCCCAGGCAGGGCTGGGAGATGCGGCTGTGCAGAGATTCTCATGGTGGAGAATCCGGACAGCAGGGCTGGTGGCGAGGGAAGGAGGGCCAAGCAAGTCGGCGAGGCTGCAGGGGTGGCCGTTGGCAGCCCCCGAGCCGGGGACATTTCAGATAACCGCACGCCCCTCTGCCTGACTCAGGCGCAGCGCACCCCCTCTCTTGCAGAATGCTGTAATGCCCCCTTCTACCATTTATTTGCTGCTCGCTTTTCCATTAGAGCGGATCTCCTGGAAGGGGAGAATTTTCTGCCAGAGCAATGAGCTAAATGGGTTAATAGTTTTATGAGCCTGCAGGGGCACGTGACACGCAGTAAAAAGTGTTAAGTAAAAGAGAGAAGCAGTAACTACGAATTGGCCCGTTGACCACAAACACTGGAAGTAGACTTTTAGCTTTTAAAATCCAGTTTCAGAGCTTGCTGGGGGAGAAAATCATTAATGCCTTGGTAAAACCAAGGTGGAAGTCCCTATTAGCAGTCAAGAAGGATTCATATTTGGATATTCTAACTGCGACTGAAGATTTATTAGGACACACGGGCGTGCTGGTTACAGATGAGAAAAAGAAACAAAGGCTTCGCAAAGGATGCAGCCCAGTCTCTGCGGAGATAAGGCAGAGTGCATCCCTATCTCCCCTCGAAGCCTTGAGTCCATTAATGGAAACACCAGTGTGATATCTCAGAACGACACGGATCCTTCCTGCTTCTGTGCAGAGCATGGAGCCTCTGGACCTGAGAGTGAGGAACGACTCAGTTTCCTTCCCTCTCTTTCTAGAACTCGTGCATTAGTGGTGAGCACAGCCTGGTCATCTACCCTGGAGACAGAGCTAAATGCCGTCCCACCCATGGAACCAGTCAATCATCTTCCTGAACCAAGGATGCACTTAATGCCCCGGGGAATGCCAAGCTCCACCATTTACACTGATTTCTACTTTAAAACAGAATGGCTTTGTTACTGTTTGATGGTGACCATTATCGCCTAAGAACATCAGAAATAAAGAGCCTGGCGTTGGAGCATTCTGGAACACGGGCATCCCACACCATGAAATGCTGGGGAAAAACCCAATCACATGATGTTCCTCTCGCCCTGGAAGAGCTGAGGCTTGGTGATCCTCAAAACAGTCCAAGGGGCCCGAGGACCCTGAGGCTCCCAGGACCATGCTCACCCCTGGCCCTGGCATAACTGCCTGTGGCTTCTCAGCAGCTCGACGCCTGGCTGCACGGTAGTGCGCTCCTGGCAGGCCTGGGCTGACGTTCAGGAAAACGGCCGCTCAGCCTGGCTAGGGCTGTCGGCAGGCACCGAGCCTTCTCTTGCCTCACCCCCCATATGCCCTCCTGTCCCGCTAGAACAGCTGAACAGTGCTCAGCAAACACTGCGTCGGGACACCTGTGTGCCAGGCCCTGAGGCAGGAGTGGGTTAAGCGACAAGGTGAGGCACAAAGGGCATGTGTGTGGTGGGGGTGGCCAAAGGAGGGCCACGGTCTCCAGGACAGCGGGTGTGGAAGGAACGCAGCCTGTGGCGTCCCTGTCACATGGGAGCCTTCGTGAAGGACAGAGTCTCTGTTGGTAGCACTGACAGGAGGGCTGAGCAGAGACGGCCATGCAGGAAGGGGGGAAACGAGTGTGCTGGGAGCCATGGTGGCCGGCCAAAGCGCCACAGAGCTGGCCTCTAGAGTTGTGGGCCAGGCGACTGTCCTGCTGAAGAGCCCCCAAGGCCCTGCAGTTCATGTGGAGTGGTGGACACAAGAGCTGGGGCAGGAGGCCCAGCAGTGCTGCCCTGGGATGGGAACACAGTGCTGGGTACTCGACTCGGTCCTCCACTCCAGCCCAGGCCAGCACCTGCTTCGGCCAGGATGGGGCCCAGAGGGGTCACTGCATTAGGGCTCACCTCCTTCGTCCCTGGGGCTTTGGAGGGTCTCCGAAACACACCCCCTCAGTAAGAAGAGCATTTTTCAAAACTTAAGAGACTTCAGCCAACTAAAGCAAAGAGCTGGGCTGGGACATAGTAGTGGTTGTGACCAGAGGGGCAGGGAGCACCTTCCCTCCAGCTGCCCTGCCCCACTGCCCGCCAGCAACCTCCACCTCAGCCCTGGACACTCTGAGGGGGCAGAAGCAGCAGTGGGAAGGCATGTCTGTTGAGTGCTGTGGGACGGGCAGGGGGCCATCTGGAGCCCAGTGTACACTGGCATCGTGTGTGTTTCATCTCTGAGTATCTAATACCTCGTGAACAGCCCGTGATGGGGCGGTGATCATTCGACTCACTTTTACCGATGGGCAGGGGCAAGAGGACTTAAGAGCGAGTGTCTGCCACCGGGTTAGCCCTGGCGGAGAGAGGATGGGAGATACAAGCGAGGAGGACCACTCTGCTGGAACCCCTCTGGCCCTCCCGTGCCTCTCGCTCCAAGACCTCCCCCACATCTTTGCTTCCATCAAGCCTGAAACCCCACTGAAAGGCAGACCCCTCTACACTAGTGCCATCTCAGGTCTGGGGCCACCTGCTGCCCAGGGACGTGCTCCCAGGGAGTGGGCTGCTTGGAGAAGGAGGTGGCCCCTGAGAGGAGCCGGTGGCGGGGTGGGCGAGGAGCAGACACAGACTCAGGGAAGGTTCCCAGTGGCAAGAGCCTGCCTCCACTCCTGTCAGCATCACTGCAGATGGTCTCCTGGGATTTGTCTCTGAATGTTTCGTTTGTGTCATGTTCCAGTTGTCTCCAGTCCTCTGGTGGAGGGGGCGGAGAGAGGCGGGCTGAATTCCAGCAACACAGACACACACAGGAAAAGGAGCCTGCGGTCCCACAAGCAAACTGCACACTGTGCACCAACCAGTGTCACCATGGAGAACGCGCCCAGAAAATGTTGCTCTCCCGGGGTGGGGGCGGGGTGAGGCCAACGAACAAAGAGTAAATGGGCGTCACTTGGGGTGACCTTTTTCTACTTACGGGAACAGATGTATTCTGCAAGCTTTTCTGCATTTCCAGAGTTTGCTCCTTCTGTGTCCAGGCCGATTTTCTTCACTGAAAAACAACAAAAGAAAAGTGTTTTCCTTAAAGACCTCCCTTCCTGGGTTGCTTGCTAATGTGCAAATGCACAGGAACATCTCCTCCTGAAGGCTGGTACGGGGTGATGGCAGGCACGTGTCCAACGTGAGGGTGCTGGGCCCTGGGCCCACCCTTCCTAGATGTGTGACTTTGGGTCATGCGCCCATTTCTCCGAGCCCCACTGAGCTCATCTACACGAGGGGAGGACACCAGCCACAGGGGACTGCTTTAAAGAGTTTACAAGATGACGAGAGCGAATCCTGGCCATCCAGGGGGAGCTGAAGAAAGGCGGCTTTCTTATCGGCCAGTGAGGAGTGGCGAGCATTTGGGATTTGCTACGTCTCACAGGGCATGCGAGGGCCCTCATTCTGTCGGGGAGATGAGGCCAGCCTGAAACGGAACGGAGGGCAGGAGAGGTTCCACGGGATCCTGCCAACAAAGACCTCCAGCACCTCAACTGCGGGCCTTCTGGGCTGAGGGGTGAGCAGCTTCCATCAAGGAGCGCGGCAGGAGCAGCCCCCCACCCCAGGCCCCGTGCGGCAGGAGCAGCCCCCCACCCCAGGGCCCCGTGCACTCTTCCACATGGGAGATGCTGGCCCGTCCGCAGACGATGCCGAGGGAGGAAGGGCCGCGGCCCCTGCGCCGTCCGCGCTCGCCACCTGTCCACGGGCTGCGGCACCCCCTAACGGAGGTGAGGCTGTGCCCATTCTCTTTAGGATCCACGTGAGCCCCGCCAGCTGATTTAACAAACGCAGCTTTCACGTCAACACCGTCAGCTTTTCATCTACAGGTCATTGCTAGTGTCCCGAGCCCAAGAGTCAAGTCACATGCCGCCGTAAACTTTGCTCTGGAACAAAGCCCTGCTTATACTGCACGGCTGCCCCGGCCGGCCGCCCCTCCTCTGACTGCACTGGGAGGGTCTCAGTACACCACATCCCTGAAGACCCCCCAGGACGGAACCGGGACCTAAGACCGCAGTGATGTCGCTCTTTACCGTTGGCTCGCCCGCCCGGTTCCTGCAGCGACTAGACGGGAGGAGCCACGCCGAGACTCTCGCGCCCTGTTCCCAGGGAGCCCTGGCGCAAATGTTCGTCCCCACAACGACTCGGGGCCAAGGGCTCCTGAGAGCAGGGAGCAGAGCCCCAAGCCGGCCAGCGCCTGTCAGCTCCGTCTGCGAGGACAGGGCCTGGCTGTGTGGCCGCCCACAGCCCGCAGAGGCTCTCAGTAGAGGTCAGGGAGGGATGTTCGCAGGAAGGTCTCCACCCCTGTGGCGGCAAGGCTGGCTCTGCTCTAAGCGGGTGCCAGGTTTCAGCCCAGGGCCTCGGGCGCAGGCAAGCCCGCCTCCGGGGACTCCCCAGGCCGTGGTGACAGGGGAGCTTCAAGTGACTCACACCTGTGAAACAAACCAGTCTGCCCCCAGACAAACCTGCCATCGTGTTCTTTACATTTAAGAGCTTAAGGCGAGGACTGCCATGGTGGGCCCAGTCGGGAGCTTGGGTAAACCTGGGGTGAGCCCCCCTGCTGGTGGACGCCTATGCTCGAAGGTACCGTGCGGTTGTCTCAAGGGGAGGAAAGTTCTTAGTTCAGGGCGCCTGGGGGCTTCAGACGGTCAAGCGTTTGCTCAGGTCATGATCCCAGGGTCCTGGGATGGAGCCCTGCGTCAGGCTCCTGGCTCCTTGCTCAGCGGGGAGTCTGCTTCTCCCTCTGCCTGCTGCTCCCCCTGCTTGTGCACTCGCTCTCTCTCTCTCTCTCTCTCTCTCACAAATAAATAAAATCTTAAAAGAAAATGCTTAGTGCAAAGGCAAATCATAAGAATCAACAGGTGGGATGTGAAGACACATTAAGGTTATAGACACAGATGATCTCAGTATTCTCCCAGAATTCATGGGAAAATGAAGCAATGAAAAATACTCAAAAATTAGGTATGGTTTATGGGCTGCCTGAGTGGCTATCGGGTGAGGATCCAGCTCTGGAGTTTTGGCTCTTGGGTCCCGGGATCAAACCCTGGGTCGGACTCCTCGCTCAGCAGAGAGTCGGCCTGAAGATTCTCTTCCTCTGCCCCTCCGTCCACTTGCTCTCTCAAGTGCACTCACTCTATCTCTCTAAAGTAAATAAATCTTGATGGACTTTGACATCAAGACCACTAGCTTGGGCCAAGTTTCCATTTCCACTATAAGAAACATTTGTATCTTCTCTTTGCTTCAACTGTTCCATTCTCCTGACCTGATGTGCAGCTTCTGGAGGGAGCCTGAGGCAGCTCTCAGGCCAGAGGGCTCCTGCAAGATGGCCCCTGGTGACCTCGGTGCTCCCACAACAGTGACATCCCCATCCCTTGAGCTTGAGGCTGGACTGGCTGTATTCAAACAAAAGAAAGATGGCGGAAGTGATGGGATGTCACTCCCAAGATTAGACGATGAAAAGACTGGTTTTTGGCCCGGAGGCTCTCTTGTGCTGACTCTTGGATTGTCTTATACTAGCGGAATTCTGCTGCCGTGTCCTAAGGCAGCCCTCAGAGAGGGCCACGTGAGGGCTGGGAAGTGGAGCCATATGTGTGGTCTTGGAAGCAGAACCCCCAAGTCAAGTCTTGATATATCTGCAGCCTGGTGAGAGACCCCGAGCCAGATGGACCCAACTTAGCCATTCCCAGACTCTGGACTTGCAGAAACTGTAAGAAATCAAATGCTTATTGTTTCTGGCCACTCAGTTTTGGGCAATTGTTATGCAGCAGAAGATGACTAATGCTTGGACTCAGGACTCCTCCGGCTGTCCATGTTCAAATTCCTTTCACTCTCCACACGCTTGCTGGGCCTCGGGATGAACAGAAGCGTCCAGCAGTTCACTAGAGAGAGGTCCTCTGGGACACCATGTCTGGGAAGGTGAACTTAGAAGGTTCCAAAGTTGGGTGACTGACTTTCATGTTAAGATAGAATGTGGTTTCTCCTAAGAGATTGTTTTTCCCTTTTCTTTTTAAAAAGTAATAGAGATTACTTTTAATTACTTTTAATCACACAGCAGTGTGGGTCCCAGCTGAGCCAGCCAAGCACCTCTCTCCCAAGAGAGGGGGGAATCCCTTGGGACCAGGCTCTGCCATCTGGAGCACACGGGAGGCTGGCCCACACTAGCCGGCTCTGTCCCGGGTTTCTCATCCCGTATCCCCACTTTTGCTCTTGGGTTTTCTTCTCATTTGACAGAACAATGAGATGCAGCCTGCACAGGGGTGCCACTGAGATGAGACTAAAGGTGGCGTGAGCAGAACAGGACCATTTACAAACATGCCGTGTTTGAGAGCTGAAGTGATGTGTAAGTCCAAAGTTGCCACGAGAATTTTCTTTCCTCTTCTACTTCAGAAAAAAAGAAACAGTGAAAGGAAGGTGTAAGCAAATTCTTAACTGATCTGGGGAGGGGATGGGAGAGTGGGGGCGGTTTCCTTGGTAACCAAGGCCCGATCCCCTCTTCACTGGTCTGCAGAGCCCCGAGCTACAAGCTGCTCTGTGTTGAAAGCGACACACCGGCTCTTCATTAGTCAAGCAACTCGCAGCTCAAGAGATGGGGATGTCACAGTGGTGGGAGCACTGAGGTCACCAGGGGCCGTCTTGCAGGAGCCCTCTGGCCCGAGAGCTGCCCCTGGCTCCCCCCAAAAGCTGCACATCAGGTCAGGAGAATGGAACAGTTGAAGCAAAGGGAAGACAGAAATGTTTCTCATAGTGGAAGTGGACACCAGGCCCACACACTAAATTGGGAGACCGTCTATAAACAACTGGCCAGTGTCAAGGTCACGAAGCCAAAGACAGAGGCACCTTTCTGGCCTTCAGGAAACTAACTAGACATACCGACGAAGGCAAGACAGGCTTCTGAATGCCGTCCTTCCGCCACGCTGGACATTACGGAGAAGTAAGAGGTACTAGCATGTGCATGTTAATTTCTGGAATGTGAAAGTTGCAGCGATACAGGGCGATGTGCTTGTTTGTAGGGAACCTATATTCAACTACTTGGGCTTGGTGGGACATCACGTTGGCAACTTACTCTCCAGGGGTCCAGGAAAGACTGAGTTCTTTGTATTGTAACTTAAGTTTTCTGTAAATTTCCTTCAAAATGAAAAGTATATAAAAGAAAAAACTACATAATCATCATATAGATGCATCATAATTTATTTAACTATTCCCCTATTGGGGGCTCTCCTTTTTCCATGATTATAAATAATGCTATAATATACATTCGCATATAAAAACCAATTCTTTTCTCCTGCTTTGGATTATTACCTTTGGCTAGATTATCAGGAAAGGGATTAGTGGGCCAGAGGGTACAAAGCTTGTAATAGAGCCTTATTTTTTATTTTTTTATTTTTAAAAGATTTTATTTTTTTAAGTAATCTCTATGGCCAATGTGGGGCTTGAACTCACAACCCTGAGATCAAGCATCGCATGCTCTACTGACTGAGCCAGCCAGACACCAATGTAATAGAACTTCTGAATACATATGAACAAGTATTTCTGAAAATATATGACCCAATTTCTAATGCCATTTAGCAATATTTGAATATATTTGTCTCATTATACCTTTACCAGGACAAGCAAGAGAGGCAGAAGGAGAGGGAGAGAAATCCTCCAGCAGACTCCCTGCTGAGTGCAGAGCACGACTGGGGACTTGATCATGACCTGGACCTGAGACCAGGTCCCTGAGATCATGACCTGAGCTGAAATCAAGAGTCAGACCCTTAACTGAATGAGCCACCCAGGAGCCTCTAAAATTGCCTTTTGTTATTCATAATAGATCCCTTTCCATTACACCTGAGTTTATGTTAATGGTGGTGTTTGGAAAGCCCTGAAGGAAGGGGGCTTGTTGCCAGGGGAACCAACCTTGTGATTAGAGAGGGTTGTCTCTTGCCTCCAAGGAGAAGAGTGGGGCTGGAGGTTGAATTAATCACCAATGACCAATAACTTAATCAATCATGTAATGAATCCTTAAGTACATCCTTATGTAATGAATCCTTCATAAAAACCCAAATGGTGCCACAGAGAGATGCTGGGAAGGCAGTGCACCTGGAGGGGGTGTGGAAGTGCACCTCTTCCCGCCCCCCCACCTTACTCTAGGCGTCTCTTCCATCTGTTGTTCATTCCTATCCTTTGAAATATCCTTTATAACAAACAGGTAATAGTTAGTAAACCATGTGCCTGATTCTGGGAGCAAATGACCCAATCCAGCCCACATTTGTTAACCAGAATACAGAAGGGTGACTATGGTAATAACAGAGACTAAAAGAAGAAAAATAGTTTTTCACTCCCCAATGACTTAACCTTGTTTGTTTAAAAAAAACAACAACAACAACTATAGTTTAAAATATGATATTTTGCTTATTATATTTATGAATAATTAGTCAAATATGCTGCTGGTAAGGGTACAGTGAAAGCTCTCTCTCTCTCAAAAAAGTAAAGCTTTCCAAAAAAAAGGAGGGCAACTTCATCTTTCTTATCACTTAGCAAATACCAAGGGTTTATAAAGGAGATTTGTCCCAGGGACAGGGACAAAGCCAAACACACATTTTTATTACAAATCATAACATCACAGTCATTTTTTTGGTGTTTTATCTTTACCTTGATTGCTTACCTAGAGAAGCAGTAGCATTTCCGACCACATACACTGACTTAGCATTCCATTTTTCTCTCAGAGAATGTTTCCAGACTGTAAAACATAGAATTAGATGTGAGCAGCAAACAGCACAGTGGCCATCTGGACTGCTGCCCAGAGCTCCTTGTTCATCCTAAGACACTTGTGAACAAGGCAAACTATTAATAACCACGTATAAAGAACAGTGTCTTGAACTAAAAATCCATTTTTGTTCTGTTCATATTCGGCAATCAAATTTCTAAAAATCACTTCATAAATGTTTCAGTATGCCTTGCTTAGAATATTAACTCTTTTCCACAGTTGTACTAGAAGCACTTTTATTATGTACCAGAAAATAAACATAACTTGAAGAAAGAATTTGCAGGGTGACATTAAAGTTTAAAAATGTAAACTTTTATTTATTTATTTATTTTTTAAGTAATCTCTACACCCAGCATGGGGCTTGAACTCATGACCCCAAGATCAAAAGTTGCAAGCCTGAGGTACCTGGGTGGCTCAGTTGGTTAAGTGTCCGACTCTTGGTTTTGGCTCGGGTCATGATCTTGGGGTCGTGGGGTCGAGCCCTGTGTGGAGCTCCATGGGAAGTCTGCTTGAGATTCTCTCTCTCCCTTTCCCTCTGCCCCTCCCTCCACCCCACCCCCATAAAATAAATAAATAAGATCTTAAAAAAAAAAAAGAGTCACACACTCTTCCAACTGTGCCACCCAGGTGCCCCTAAAAATGCAGACTTTTAAAGAAAAAGTCACTGGTCTTTAAAAATAGCGACCTAGGGGCGCCACAGTGGCTCAGTGGGTTGAGCCTCTGCCTTCGGCTCAGGCCATGATCTTGGGGTCCTGGGATCAAGCCCCGCGTTGGGCTCTCTGCTGAGCGGAGAGCCTGCTTCTCCCTTTCTGCCTGCCTCTCTGCCTACTTGCGATCTCTCTCTCTCTGTCAAATAAATAAATTGATTTATTTATTTAAAAATAAATTAAAAAAATAAAAATAGCAACTTAGTGTCTAATAGAGCAACACAACTGGTTTTATTTGGGACATGTATTTGAAAGCAGTCAAGAAACTATAATCTCGGATGTGTACATTAAGTCAAAGTAAAGACCATAACTTTCCGGTTCGTGAGCAAACAAACACAATTTAACCGAGAACATTACTATTTTAGGGCAAAAACAAACAGCTTTAACTGTGGATTAAAGATATACAAAGAGAAAATGAGCTGGATGAATACACGCTGAGGCCACCGGGTGTTCACTACTCTTGGAGAAGACAAGGACACACGAGTTCTCCCTTCCTACAATCCGATTAGGAGCGTAACTTTCCCGAACATTTAAGTGTTACGTTACCCTTTACACTCCCATGGGAAATTTCATTTTATTAATTAACTAATTTATTTATTTTTAAAGATTTGTATTTTTTTAAAGTAATCTCTGCACCTGACATGATGACCACAGTATGCATGCCTCTGGCCAGCGGTCCAGGAATACACGAGGTGCCGAATGTAAAGTAATTAACAGAGCCTGGCACACATTAGGCACTCCGTGAATGTTAGCAACGAAGCTATTTGATTGAAAGACTAAAGTGGTTGTTCAGTCTGAAGCCTGGGCTCTCTGTTCCTGTGTTTTGATGGGGGAGGGAGGGAGGAGGTGGGAAGAAGGGACTGAGATGATCATGTCATTGAGTGCCTGGCATGGCACCAGCCATTTTTTTGATGTGCTTGGATTTTCTCATCATCTCTTTGAGGAAAGAGACTGCCACCAATATATTCTGAGGAGAGAAATGACCACCAGCAGATGAATCCCTCAGGGTCTGGGGACTTTGGGGGGCTTCCCTGTCTTCTGTTTCCCAAGGCAGCATCTGTGATGTGATACCACCAGATGCCTGCTCTGGTCAGAGACCACAAGGCTAACCTGTCATTCTGTGTGGGACATTCAGAGTCTGCTTGTAAGGAGAGAGGCCATTTTCTGCTTCCTCCAAAGGTTACACAAACATGAACTAGCTTGGTACATAAATACTTTTTTGAGCTGAAAGTCACTGAGATGTTTCAAACCTGAACAATCTATTTCTGGAATCCGGTCTCCCCGCTCAGGAGAATCAGAGTAAAGAAAGTCCAGTGGAATTCAGGAGAGTCCCCTCACCTTCCGTTTTATTGTCTTTCTCCAAACACAGCTCCACTGCTTCCACTGCTCTGGGGCTGGTAAAAATGAGTCCTCCATAGCCTTCAGGATGAGACAGCTGTGCACCAAACCGCAACAGAGACATTTTACACAATGGCCAAGTTCAACATTTTCCAGATTTGCAAATGCTTCACAAAACTAATTCCTTCTATCCATCCATGCATCGTTTATCCATCCACCCACTCTTCCATCGTCACCTGCCGGGAGCTGACTATATGCCTGGAACTATTCTAGGCCTTTCAGGGTGCGCAGATGAACTCACTGTTCACGGCATTTCTCTCAAGCAGCTCACAGTCAAGGGGAGAGCTAGGAAAGAGCATGCAGGGTGGGAGTGTAGCAGAAGCAGAGAGGGGGGCCATCTGACCCATCCAGGGCTTGGGTGGGGTGCAGGCAGGAGGGCAGACTGGATCTGTATCCGTACTAAAGCTAGAACCTTCAAGGGGCGCTGGGGTGGTTTGGTTGGGTAAGCTGCCTGCTCTTGACTTTGGCCCAGGGTCCTGGAGCGAGCCTGGCACCGGGCTCCATGCTCAGAAGGGAGTCGGCTTGGAGAATTCTCTCTCCCTCTGCCTCCTCTTTCCCTTCACGTTTTCTCCCTCCTTTTCTCTCTAGGGAAATAAATACATCTTTAAAAAAACCACTGGACTCTTCAAGGGGCAATATCCATGTCGAAGCCTTGATTTTCAAAGACGGTAACAGTGACAACATTTACCAAACAATGCGCTTTTTACATATTGTGTCCCTCACTCTAAGTTCCCTGGGAGATACGTGAGGTTCCTGTCCTCTCATCGATGAAGACTTGGGCTTGGAGAGGCTGAGGAACTGGCCCATGGTGAGAGACAGGGCCAGGACTCAAACACGTGCCTTGTGCCCTGACTCACTGCAGCATAGGGAGCTAGACAAGAGTCCAGAAAAGCCCTCAGGGGCCACGCTGGTTGGCGGTGATGGGAGAGGCTCCTGTGGAAACTCCCGTATCTGTGTGGCCACGAGGTCCAAGAAGCGATCTCAAATGATGAGATCTCTGAGGCCTTTCAGGGCTGCTTCTGGAAGGGCACGTGGGTCTGGGTCCTTCTTAACCTCGTTCCCTCGGCACACAGCCCAGTACATGGGGCATTAACAGGTGCCGGGCCAGTGTCTGTCGGGCACATTATTGAATGAATCGTGTAGTATTTGGCCCCAAATGAAAACAAAGGCTTTCCATAAAGAGCAGGAGTGGTGAACCTGGTGCTAACGGTGGCATGGAGCCCCGGAGCATGGCTGGACACCCCTAGTCCATGAAACCAGCTGGCTCTTCCCCACGTGTCTAGAACGGGGCTCCTGGAAGATGCCCTGAAGGTGCTCCCCTCTTGGGACAGGGTGCTCGCCGGTGAGGGCTGCCTGAGCACTGAAGCTTTGAAGGCAAACATCTGGAAGGCTTTACTGAGATTGTGTCCGGCAGGACAGATCCCTGTTCCCCCTGGCGGCAGACCTGACGCTGTGGGGGAGCAACGGTCTCACCCCAGCGGCCCAACCTGGGGCCTCTAAAATAGTGAAGTGCGTGGTCAGGACAGGTGGGTGAACCGGAGGACGCACTGGAAAGGACTGCACGGCTGGGAGCCCCCTCCCCAGACCCCGCCTTCAGATCAGGGTGGCTTCCTGGAGAAGCTGGGGACTGTCACAGGGACAGACTCACAGCCCCGTGCACTGGAGCCTGGGGAGGCTACGCTGCCCTTGTCTGCAAGTCTGGTAGTAAAATGAGGGAGCAGTGTAGAAATCCTTCCAGCTCGGGTTGGCAAGGGTTCTAGACTCAGAAATTACGGTACTCAAGACACCGACAGACCTTACCTTCTCAGAAAAACTGGGAAGAGACAAAAACTCAAATGATAAAACAGGGATCAGAGTGGCTTCGAGTCCATATAACCCCAATTCCTGCAAATACAAGAATACAGTTCAGGGTTGGCTAGGGTTGTTTGGAAAGTAAGGAAAAGGGTCACAGGACCAACTTAGTCTGTGTCAGCTCCTCAGAGGGTTCGCAGACCACCCCCGCCCCCCCTTAGCTTCCTTAGGAAGACAGTGTGGTGCTGGGCGGGACCCAGAGCCTCAGGCACTTACCCTGATGTACGGATCTTGGCCACAGTCATCCTCCTTGGCGTCTTTCAGTAAGAGAACTTTCATTATGGCTTGGGAGTCCTTATAGGGCGCTGGGACAGAGCAGGGAGAAGGATGGATCTTAATTAGATCTCAGGAACTCTTCCTAAGCAATGTCAGTTGGTACAGGAGCACAGGAGGAAGGTCATCAACTGCTTGCTGAGGTGACTGACCTATCCCTCATCCGCAATGACTTAGCGTTAATGGGCTTGTTCCTTCTGAAGCCCCTGTCACTGATAAGGCCAAGGGACAGCATGCTGGCGCTTGATATCACTTGGAAAGGCAGATGAAAGCCATTAGGGAAAGCCGGTGTCCTGGCCACACATTTAAGGCTCCTGAAGAGGAGTGATAAAATTTGGGGGTTGTATCATTAACAAATAGACAAATTATTTTAAAGAAATAAAAAATTACTCCATCTCAAGATAAATGTACTAAGAAGTTAATAAGCTTTTTAGGAAATAGTTACATTGACCCTTTTACTTGTTTTATAAATGATGTTTTATAAATGGTGCCAAGTATGAGATCTCTTAGAAGTTTTCTAAAAACCTGGAAAAGAATTTGTTGATATCTTTTGAAAGCCTTGTATACTTTATACTCTTTCTTCTTATGATTTCACTTCTAAGCATAAGTACTAAGGCAATATTCATAAAAGTGTGCAAAGACTAACATAAAGATGTTCATCCTGGATCCTGGCATATGTGACATAACAGCACTGTGTAAGTTTCAGCTCACATCAGCTGTTCATCTGATACATTTATTTGCTACAATATGATTACTACCATAGCAGCTCAGCTAAAGCCTCTGCCACGCCTCCTGATAATTATTTCTTTTTTGCAGTGAGAACAATTAAGATCAACTCTCCTCAGGAACTTGGAAGTTTGTAATAGAGTACTGTTGACTGTAATCACTATGTTGTGTATTTGGTGTCCAAGACGTTACTTCTCTTCTAGTTGCAAGACTGTATCCTGGTATTGGGCGCCTGGGTGGCTCAGTGGGTTAAACCTCTGCCTTCGGCTCAGGTCATGATCTCAGGGTCCTGGGATCGAGGCCCGCATCGGGCTCTCTGCTCAGCAGGGAGCCTGCTTTCTCCTCTCTCTCTATGCCTGCCTCTCTGCCTACTTGTGATCTCTCTCTCTCTGTTTCAAATGAATAAATAAAATCTTTAAAAAAAAAAAAGACTGTATCCTGGTATTTATAGTGGGAACAAAGTAAATGTCCAACAGAGAGGCCAAGGTAGTTATATGAAATTATTAAAATATTAGTTACATGGAATATTTAATCACAAAATGTGAAGTTAAAGAAGTATAATGCATGAATAGTATGGTTTTATAAATTTTATATATGCATATTTATGAGAGAATGTGCATCCGAATACTACCAATAATTAATTCTGGGTGGCAGGATAGGGTGATTATTTTCTTGTTTACCTCTTTCTGTATTATCCATTTTTATTACAATAAACATTATATTCTTTTTTATCAAGGGGGTGGAATTTAATATGACAACCCCAAAGGCCTCAAAATAAATGTTGCTAGAGACCTGCAGAATAAACTCTGCCTGAAATGTGGATTACTATCCTGTAAGTAGCATTAGGCCCACCAGCTGGTTACTGACTGAGTATTACACAGTGGTTGATGATAGTCAGACAGCGTGTATTGTGTGAAGCAGAAATGGGTTAACTCTGGGAGCCATTACTTATGAGTTATTACTGAATAGGTTTCTGGAACATTATAATATCTATGGGACATCTTAGAAAAATCTGGCTCAAAATGAATTGCTTTGTATCTAAGCAACCAGCCCTGGGTGAACAAATAATAATCATGAAATCAAGTTCTAATTACTGCTGCTGTCGAGCTGTGAGCTAGAGAGACGGGGGATTTGGAGAAATGGGCAGTACTGTTCCTATCATTTCTTGGAATTACTTGGAATGTGTCTCACATAGAAATTAGGAACCGGCCTTTCTGAGATGGGCACACGCAGGTGTCAACCCGGTGAGGCATTTATTCCCAAATGCTAACGTAGGTGGTGCTGTGAAGGCATTTTGGAGATAAGATAAAGTCTATCATCGGGTGGCTTTTTGCCAGGGAGATTATTCTAGATAATCTGGTGGGGGGGGCCTCCTCCAGTCAGTGGCTTTAAGAGCAGAACGAAGGCTTCGCTGGGGCAGAAATTACAGCTGTGGACACAGCTTCCTCTGCTGCCCGAGCTGGCCCACCCTTCTCGGCGGCTCGCGCTCAGCCTGCACTGGGGGTCTCAGACTCGCCTGGCAGCCCCCGCAGTGGCACCAGGCAGTGCCTTGCAGCAGGTCCTAATCCATATCCCCCACGAGCTCTGTATCCTTGGTTGAACCCAGACTGATCCCAAGAGCTCCTTCTGGGGCTCCAGGAATCTGTATGTCACCGAGTGGCAGGTAAAACTGAGCATTTTCAGGTAATACATACATGTTTCCAGGCCCACAAAACAAGCCAGGATTGTGGGGATTAGAAGTTGGACGCAACCTGCTGTTGGAAGCAGTTGGTCCCGGGCCGCAGACCTCAGCCCCACCATGTCCCCACCATGGCTTGAGGTTCTGGGATGCGTATCCCCAAGATTTCAAAGGATACATTTAGTGGTGTTTCCAAATTCCAAGAGCCAATCTCTCCCAAGTGTTTCTACATGTTCTCAGAAACTGACATCCGGAATCTGTCTTGGGGAGATTAGGTCTGCATTATGTATTGGGGGCAGGGCACAAGCTCAAGTCTACCAAGTGCTAGGAGATGATGTGGGAGAGATGACTGGGTGCTGATAGCTGGTTGCTGGTCCAGGGCCACCACTCTGAGAAAGCATCTTAGTTGAGATCTGAATGACAACAGCAGCGAGGAGAAGTGTTCAAATGTCAGGAAGGGGCTGGGTGCGTTCCTGGGAGAGAAGGGTACACAGGGCTCTGGTGGGAAGGCAGGTGGACTTGGGACACTGTGAGATATGGGAATCCGCGGACAGGTGTAAACAGGACTGGCAGCAATGGTATTCATGCCTGAGAAAGGCCTCCAGCTCCTGCGGTGAGGACGGCCACCAGCAGAGCAGGCAGTGGTGGCGGCTGGCTTTGGCAGTGGGGCCCTTAGGAGGGGCTGGCTCAGGGACTCTCCCTGAAGACAGGGTTAACAGGACACAGGGGTGTAATTCATGGTGAAACTATCTATCCACCGCCTGACGACTGGGACTAGGTGAAAATGTCTTTCTTCTTCAAATACCACGTACACTCTGGGTTTGTTCAGTGTAATCCTATCTGTGAGTCAAAAAGTATTTCTAGACCATTATTGTGTCCTAGGCACTGGGGTTATGATATGATTCCTGCCTCCCACTGGCGGGAGGGTAAAACAGACACTTTACAAATAAGTAAAAGCGATGGCAGACTCGGTGTGATAAGTGCCGCGAAAACAAGTCAAGGTGCTCTGGAGGCGTAAGTGGCAAGTCTCACTTGAACTGGAGTGGGGGGCTGAGGATGCCGGGAGCCCCCAAATGTGGAGAGGGGGGCCGAGGATGCCGGGAGCCCCCAAATGCCCACCCTTCCTTTCTCACTCATAGAAATGGAATCCCTCGTTAGTAATAAGGCACACGGTTGCCCAAAATAAAAACATGTGCCTGGATGTGGCCAGGGGACTAGCTTCTGGCCCACAGGATCTACGTGGGAGTGATGTGCACACTTTGTGGGACCCATCCTGAGAGGGAGGTGCCCTGGCCCTACTCGTTCCCCCCGCCTCCCTGCTGGCTGGGATGTGGATGTGGTATCTGGACCTTTCCTTGGTCTGTGAGAAGCTGCAGTAATGCCACCGTCTAAACTCCTGTGACTGGAGAAAGCCGTTTGGACGTAAGTCAGGGATTCTAGGCACGGAAGTCATTCCTCGCTCATAGGGCAGCTGGCTGAGGTCATCCACATCTGTGCCTTTACAAACACATGTACCTTGGCTGTCCCATGAGCCAGTCCTCCCCTCATTGGTATTTCCTCTGCTAAGGGCAGTGTCCATCACCTAGTCCCTGGGCCTTTGCTAGACTCTTTGGCTCTGCAGAACCTTTTGGGACTCACTCCCCAACCCCAACACCCCCCATCACCTGCAGACCTTTCTCTGAGCCTTTGGATTCTGCCCTGGCCTAAATGTGCTAACAGTACAGTGAAGAGTTCCCGTCAATTAGGGGGAATCATTCTCGAGACAATATCAACTTAAATCTTCAATTACTAAGAAAATTAGTAATTTGTGAGCATGATTATCTTTACGCACTTATCAGGTGATTTCTTTCTCACTGAACTTGATGACATGGGGATATGGCAGGGCACAGAGTCTCCAGCAATGATTCCTCTTAATTCTGCATTAGAGGTGCTTTGAGCAATGGCAGGAAGGAATAAGGGTGTCTGATTTTTATCTGCCAAGTCCAGCAGCACATCTCATGGAACATCTTAATGGTAATTATCAGGAAGCCATCAATTTTATTACCTAAGACAACCACAAAGTAGTACCCAGAAGACACATTTTCTCTATTTGCAGTGGGTCGACTGGGTTTGCTTTCAACTGTTTGCATTATTGAACTAAGCCCTTTGTACCAGAGTGGTACTTTTTATCTTCATGCTCTTCTGTTTTCCCAAACACTGGGGTGTGCAAAGTCTATGAGAGGCAGCCTAGTATGGGGGTTAGGAATACAGTGTCCAGAGCCAGACTGCCTGAGTGGGAACCCCACCCAGCTCTGCCACTGACCAGTTCTGGGACTTTGGATGAGTTTTGTCCTCCATAGGCCGGCTTCCTCACCCCTAAAACAGGACAAACCTCGTAGACTTAATGCAAATAAAGCATTAGATCAGTCTCTGGCAGACAGTAAGTGCTCAGTAACTGTGGCAGTGGTCATTGCTATGTCCTTCCAGTCGCTCAGCAACCTACGGCTGGATAGGGCAGAGCTTATTCCCACTTAATGGGGGGAGAAAAGAAGATCACATCACGCGCAATAAAGCTACTGTCAGATCCCCGACCCTCAGCCCTGTGCTGGTTCAGTGACACCACACTTCCCTCCTATTACCCCAAAGAGAAAACGGAAAGCAGACATGAGAACAGGAGAGGAGGCATAAATTTATAAACAAGCGGCTTCCCATTGCTGTTAAGATCAGAAAAGTCCCCAATACAACCTGCGAAGGCCTAGCGTCTCCCAGCCCCGTGTCTCCGCTCTCCCCTGTGCACTCCGGCCGCCCCAGACTTCTCTGAATCCCTCAGGCCTGCCCCCCTCAGAGCTTCTAGTGCTAACTCCTACTCAGCCTCCAGGGCTGGGGTAAACATCACTTCCTCACAGACAGTTAGGATGTGGTTTGGCGGCTCTAAGAGATCCAAGCGAACAATGGCTGAAACGGGAGAGAACTTTGTCATGGCTGGCTGGTGGCCCCGTCATGCAGAGGGGATGTGCTCCTTCTGCCTTGTTCTTCCAACATTCCCAAGCAGGAGAGGAGCTCAGAGCTGGGCACCAGACCTGTTCAGGCCATGGTAAGGACTTTGCTGTTTATCCTGAGTGAGATGTGATGCCACTGGGGGACCGAGCACAGGGCTGATGTGCTCTGACTTATATTCCAAGAAGGTTACTTGCAGCTGTGAGGAGAAAAGACTCAAAGTAGGAAGGAGGAAGAACTGGGAGGCTCTTAGAACAGACTAGGTGAGGGGCGCCTGCGTGGCTCAGTCCGTTAAGTATCAGACTCGATTTCGGCTTGGGTCATCATCTCAGGGTTGTGAGATCAAGTCCCAGGTCGGGCCCTGTGGTGAGTATGGAGCCTGCTTAAGATTCTCTCTCCCTCTGACCACTCATGTGCTCTCTTAAAAATAAATTAAAAAAATATATAGAAAAGAACAGTCTAGGTGAGAGCGGGTACAGGTTTGGGATGGCAAAGTGGGGAGGAGTGTACTTGGATGTGTTCTGAAGGTGGAGCCAATAGCATCTGCTTCGGCTAGATGCAAGGTAGAGGAAAGAGGAGCCAGGTTTAGAACCGGAACCATGGGGAGAATGGGAGCACTGTTAGAAGATGGGAGTGGGGGCACCTGGGTGGCTCAGTCGTTAAGTGTCTGCCTTCGGCTCAGGTCATGATCCCAGGATTCTGGGATCGAGCCCCGCATCAGGCTCCCGGCTTGGTGGGAAGCCTGCTTCTCCCTCTCTCACTCCCCCTGCTTGTGTTCCCTCTCTCGCTGTGTCTCTCTGTCAAATAAATAAATACAATATTTAAAAAAAAAAAAAAAAGATGGGAGTGGATGGGACAAAGATTCACTTGGGACCATATTATGTTTGAGTACGCCTGTTCCCCACCAAGGTGCCCTAGCCCATTTGTGCACTGTGAATGAGTTCTAGGCATGTCTGCAGGCTTGATCCCCTCAGCCCTTGGGGCCGCTGGTAGGGCGCAGGTTCCCAGAACCACAGTGCACTCATCCCACGCCCACCCCGGCTGGGGCTGGCTGCCTTCCCCTGCAAACTGCACAGCTCATCTGTTGCTTACAATGTGCTGTCTAATAAGTATTAGCATTTTCTTGGTATGCTGTAATGTTAAAAAAGTTGGAGAGTACCAGCATTAAATGTCCAAATGAAGAAACTGGGTGGGCAATTTGGGCTTAGTGGGGAGTCAGGTCAGAAGACAAAGATCTGGGAGTTGTCAGTGTATAGAGTGTATTTGAGGTCTGAGGACCTGGTGAGACCACGGCCCGGGACAGAGCCCTACAGCACCCATGCGATGCCAGATCCAGTCTGGGCAGAGAGCAGAGGAGACCCTAGCAAAGGAAAAGGAACACAGACTGGGGTGAGCCTTAGTCACGCCATAACAGAATTCCACAGACTGGGGGCTTTCACAGTAGACTTATTTCTTTCATGCTGGGCCTGGAAGTTCAAAAATCAAGGCTCCATCACAGTTGGTTCCTGGTGAGAGCTGTCTTGCTGGCTTCCAGCCTACTGTTGTCTTGGTGCGTGCTCACGTGGCCTCTCCTTTGTGTTTGTGCAGAGAGAGCGCGCTCGTGTCTTCCTGGTCTTCTAAGACACCAGACCTAGAGGATTAGGGCTCCACCTAATGGGTAGAGTCGTAGGGCTTGACCTCTCATGACCTCATTTAATCTTTATGACCTCTTTTTTCTCCTTTCACCTTTTTTTTTTTCCCCAGTAGGTGCCATGCCCAACATGAGGCTTGAACTGATGACCCTGACATCAAAGTCATGCTCAACCAATCAGGCATGACCCTTCATTGCCTCTTCAAAGGCTCTATATCCAAATAAAGTCTCATCGGGGATTAGAGCTTCGACCTAAGGAATTTGGGGGGGGACACAAGATAACCATAACTTAATGCGGAAAGTCCTGCTGCTCTCCCAGCAGTAACAACCACTGCTTCCCCCGCTTTTTTAAGGTTTTATTTATTTATTAGAGAGGGAGGGAGGGAGGGAGAAAAAGCACAGGCAGGGGGAACAGCAGAGGGAGAAGCAGGCTCCCCGCTTAGCAAGCAGCCCAGTGAGGAACTTGATCCTAGGACTCTGGGATCATGACCTGAGCCAAAGGCAGATGCTTAACCAACTGAGCCACCCAGGGGTTCCAAGAGTCGCCCTTTTAGTGAGCATTTACTCTGAGCAATTTATGGGGCTAAGCATTTTATGTTGCAGGATCTCAATCCTCATTTAAACCAGAAAGGGTAGGTATTATTATCTTTATTCCACAGAAGTGGAAACCAAAACTCCGATGTGCCCAAATTCACACAGCACACTGAGTGGCAGGGGTAGGATTTAATCCCAGTCTGAAGCCCGTGCCCATTCCCTAAGCACTTGCACCACTTCTCAACTCCTGTAAGACACTCTATGCTACTTCACACTCTGACCATTCACTCCACACTGGGAGCTAGTCTGAGGACACAAAGTAAGGTTTTTCCCTCGATCTCTTCTCAACGCAATACATGTTCCCTGGAAAATTTGCAAACTACAAAAAAGTACAGTCCTTCAAAAAAACAGCAAACACAGAAAGAATTACTGTATGATCCAACAGTTCCACTTCTGGGTATACACACCCAAAAATGTAAAAGCAGAGACTTTTTTTTTTTTTTAAAGATTTTATTTATTAATTTGACAGACAGAGATCACAAGTAGGCAGAGAGAGAGGAGGAAGCAGGCTCCCCACTGAGCAGAGAGCCTGATGTGGGGCTCGATCCCAGGACCCTGGGATCATGACCCGAGCTGAAGGCAGAGGCTTAACCCACTGAGCCACCCAGGTGTCCCTAAAAGCAGAGACTTAATCAGGTATTTGTACATCCAAGTTCACAGCAGCGTTATTCACAATAGTCAAAAAGTAGAAGCAACCCAAGTACCCACCAATGGACGAACGGATAGACAAAATGAGATATATATGTACAAAGGAATATCATTCAGCCTTTAAAAAGTAAATTCTGACACATGCTACAACATGGATGAACCATGAGGAGTTTATGCTAAGTGAAATAAGCAATCGCAGAAAAAAATACTACAGGACTCTTCTAGAGTAGTCAAATTCATAGAGACGGAGAACAGAATCATGGTTTCCAGGGACTGGGCAAGGAGGAAATGGGAGTTATTGTTTAATAGAGTTCTAGTTTTGCAAGATGAAGAAGGTCTGGGAATGGATGATGGTGGTTGTTGCACAACAAAGTCAATATCCTTGATGCCACTAAACTGTATGTTTAGAAATGATTAACATGATAAGTTTTGTTATGTTTGTTTTACTACAAGAAAGTAGTAAAAGAAACGGAAAAGATTATCCCTGATGTCTGAGTGTAATTCTGTTGATAGGCTGGCCCTGTGCCTTTGAGTCCTTTTTCTAATTTTAGCCTTATGGTATCTCTTTTTATTTATTTATTTATTTATTTTTAATAGCTTCCTGTCTTGTACATTTCAGAAAAATGTTTTTACATAGTTGTGGGATGGAAAGGGGGCATTTTAAGCTATCCCATCAGATGTGAATCCCTGATATGCATGTCTATCAATATCCAGGCTGTGGCCTGGTAGCGGAGACTCTCAGGAACAATGAAACCCACAGAACACAAATCATGGGGCTCCAGGGACCCCTACCTTATCCTGACTACATTTCCTTCCTGCTGCTGAAGGATCACTGAGCTTTTCAGGCTTCTGCTTAAACCTCTGGGCAGCAGCCCCCTCACTACAAGGCGCAGCTCCTTCCATATCTAGAATTAGAGGTATCCAACCCACTTTTCTAATTTTACAGAGGAAAGAAAACCACAGACCTCCTTCTCAGATACCTGATTTCTTCTTTAATTAAGGACTTTCCTTCCAAATAGCCTTTACAATGAACAGCTGCATACTGGTAGCCCGTGAGATAAACCCGACTGGGGACTAAGTTTTACTTGGCACAGGTGTTAAAAATCAGGATCGATCTTGTCGAACTCCAGGATCTCTTGAAGTTTAAAGACCTGACGGGCACTGGGACAGCAAGTCCCCTCCGCCACAACTGGCTGCTGCAGCACAGCATACACTGTCTAGCTGACCACAGTCCCCTCCACTCTGTTCTCTCAAAGAAGGCTCTGCTCCGTGGTTCAGATTTTCCCCCAATGGACCTGAAGCATTTAAGGTTAATGCCTATCTTAAAGAAAGTTTGTCAAGAAGTGCGCTTAAAGAGCGTCGGTTGGGGGCAGGGCTCCGGTGAGATTCATTCAACCGCGGACCAGACCATGCTACCGACGGTGCTGGGGGGCCCAAGCCCGGCCCTGCAGACACCTGCGCGAGCCTAACGACCTGCCATCCGCGTTCGATCGCTGGCCCCGGGCCACGGCCCCCGCCCTGACCAGCAGCGGCCTCGGGGTTCCGCTCCCCACTCGTAACGCTCTGGCTGGCGCCGCAGACTAGCCTTGCGCGTCCGCGGGCCTCAGGGTCATCGTCGGCACCGTGGGCGGCGACACCTACCTCGCCGGGCTGCGGGGGCCGGAAAGGGTAGGCGCTGGGCCAGTTCCCAGCACTTGGGGGGCGCCCTGTCGGGGGCGGTGCCTCGCGGCGCAGATGAATCCGCGGTGCCTCGACTGGACAGAGGAGCCTGGTGGGCGGCCCCCTCACCAAGTGGTCTCTGCTGCCATGGAGACAGCCAACGCGCAGCCACGCGGCCTCGGCCGGGAGACCACGGGTCCCCGAAGCCGAGCGGCTCACAGCTGGAGCGCGCGCAGGCGCAGACAGCCAGGCCCTGGGAGGGCGGGTCTAGATGGATCGAACCACTGAGCGAAGGGGAGGGGGAGCGTTGGTAGGAGTCAGGGAGGATGGAGAGGGGGAAGAAAATGCCAAATGGGACCTGAAACTTGACTTGACTCCTAGGCATCACGGCCGTGGAATCCATTAGGGGCCCTGGACTGACGCCGACTCAGCGGCGAGGCTGTCAGTCGCCTGTCACTCGCCGCGGCCTGTGTGAGCGGGTCCGGAAGGGCGGGCTCGTGGGAGTTGCGCAGGCGCAGTGAGGCCGGCAACATGGCGTCCAGGCCCAAGCGGCGTGCGGTGGGAAGTGGGGTTCCGCAAGTCCCAGGCGTCCCCGTCCACCGCGACGAGGAAGAAGAGGAAGATGAAGTGGAAGATGAGGACGAAGACGATGAAGACAGTGACGAAGAAGAGGATGAAGACGACGAGAGCATCCACGAGGTGAGAAAACACGCGACCCCAGTTTCGTTTATGTCTGGGAAAAAAGTTTCTGGCCGCCAGAGCCTTGTGGCTGAGTGAGCTGCTCGGAGAAGCGACTGCCGGTACCTCAGGGTCTGAGCAGAAACTGGAGATGATAAGAGTGCCCTGCTCGGGTTCCACTTGAGTCTTTCACACATTGCAGCCACAGGAGTTATTACTACTATTTTCAGAAGTGCTACCCAGCGGGTTCGGCCCTCCCACCTCTCCGGGAACACCCGCCACAGCCCTTTCCTCAGTGGCTTTTTGTAAAAGCCCCAAATCCATTCAACAGGGGCTGCAGTTTATTCTCAGCCCAGCCTGCAGCCAGGTTCTTGTTGCCTTCCTCACTCCGCGGCCCTCTTTCCGTTGTTCGAAGGCCTTCTCGGTCCGCTTTGTCGAGAGTCTCCCCCGGTGCTCTTCATCCTGCGGTGTTTTCCCGTCCTTCCTAGTCTAACCCAGCTAAGCTGTATCTTCTGCCTCCGGGCACCTGCCCCTGCCCCACTCACCGACCCTGGTGATGGGTTCTTAGAAAACCGGGTTCCTTTTTTCCAGCATATCTCCTACCATACTGCTTGGCATTACAGGTGCTTAATATTTGTTGAATGAATTAATCAGGACTGAATGATCCTTCAGAGCACTGTGTGCCCAGTAGGTACCTAAAACTTCATGGGTTCAAAGCAGAATTTGCATTTCATGCTCCAGCTCCTAATCTTTGCCATTTCTGTAAATGGTTCCCGTATTCGCTAAGTTGCTCAAACCACAAACCCGGTAACTAACTTTAATTCCTCCCTTTTTGCATCTTATATCCCACAGTCTGTCAATAAATCTGTTAGCTCTACTTTCGTACCCAGACACTTTTCATCATTGATTCTCCAACAGACTCAGTACCTGCTTCCACCATCGCTTGACTGGACTCCTGTAGTCACTTAAGTGGCTTGCTCTCTTCCATTCTTGTTCCTGTACCATCTCTACACCCGCAGCCAGAGAGATCTTTTTATTTCATTTTATTACATGATATCAGGAATGCTAAATACCGTACTTTGAAGTTTATTTACTTTTTAGTAACCTCTAAGGCCAGCGTGGGGCTCAAATGCACAAACAGGAGTCACATGCTTTTCCTACTGAGCCGGCCAGGCACCTCCAGAGAGATCTTTTTAAAATGTAGGTCTGTTCTCTTTTCCCTGTTCAGAACACTCCACTGACTTTTAATTTATAAGAAAATCTGAAGACCTCCTGGTTGACGGACAGAAAGGTAGCTAATGTGGCCACAACAGAATAAGCAAGAGAAACTGAGGGGAAGTCAAATCCGATATAAACATGATTCAGGCTTAGGGCTCAGACTGGCGTGGGTATATGGTAAATCTTCCTTTGAACAGAACTTTCCCTTAGAAATCAGCTCTTGACTTTGGCCCCGTACCTTGAATGTGATCTCACCTTTTTTCACTTAGAACTTTAATGGGCTGTTTTGCGAATTTTGGATTACAGAAATCAGTGCTTTCGTTGACATGGATAGTCTGTCCCACTCCAGTGATTAAAAATTAGTGTGAGGGGGCATCTGGGTGGCTCAGTTGGCTGTCTACCTTCAGCTCAGGTCATGATCCCAGGACTCTGGGATCAAGCCCTGCATCAGGCTCCCTACTAAGCAGAGAGCCTGCTTCTCAGTCTCGGTCTCCCTCTCCCTTTGCTGCTCTGCCTACTTGTACTCTCTCTCTCTCTCAAATAAGTAAAAAATTAAAAAAAAATTAGTGTGAGAATGGTCATTGACTGTAGTGTAAGAAAACAGGCATGGGTACTGTTGGTTGGAGTATAATTTGCAATGTCTTTGGAGGGCAATTTGACAGTAATTGTCAAAACTAAAAATGTGCCCATCTCCTGATACAGTAATTGAATGGAAAGAATTTATTCTTCAGTCATAATAATAATGTTTCCAGGCTTTGTGCACATTGTATTAACTCATTTAATTTTTTTTAAAGATTTTATTATTTGACAGAGAGAGATCACAAGTAGGCAGTGGGGCTGGGAGGAAGCAGGCTCTCTGCTGAGCAGAGATGCGGGGCTCAATCCCAGGACCCTGAGACCATGACCCGAGCTGAGCCGAAGGTAGAGGCTTAACCCATTGAGCCACCCAGGCGCCCCAGCTCGTTTAATATTCACATCAACCTTCTGAAGGTAGGAGTTATCACCGTTTAAGACAGAGGATACACAGGTTAAGTGAAGACAGTCTGTGTAGTGTAGTCTCTTTAGGTGAAAGAAACAGGAAATAAATTTGATTACATGTCGAAAACCCCTTGAAAGATTAACTTAACTACTGATAGTAACCTCTGAAGAGTAGGAGTTGGGGGGTGGGTAATAAGACTACCAACTCTGTAATCTCTGGTCTCTTGTAGTGTTTACCGGTGAAATGTATTACTTTTTAGACTGAAGAAATTCTTAGGGCTTTCAGGGCAGTTCCCTACACTCGGTGGATCTTGATTCCTTTATTTATTCGAATGGGGCTTTTAGTTTCTGAGATGTTCACTCACCCACACCTCATTACCGTGGTGAATGAATCTATGAGATTTATATTTGAAATTCAAAATCTGCCTTAGGAATGCTATGTATGTAAGGAAGGAAATGCACGCACGTGTGTGTGTGTGTGTGTGTGTGTGTGTGTGTGTGTGTGTGTGTGTTAAGTCTGATTTAGAAACGGTGATTGGCTTTGCGGCAACAAGCAGAAAGGGGATAGAAAGTAGATATGAGAACTTCAAGAAATAGGTCAGGGTATTGAAACGATGAGAAGAAAAGCAAGGCATGTTAAATTCTTGTGGCCATGTGGTTAGGACTCTTTCTTGTGTGCAACAGTGACCCTTGGAAGGGAGCTTCAGAAGATGGGGAGTTTGAAGTAAGGATGCAAGGGTACCTTGGACCTCTGAGGGCAGGAAGGGGCTGGGACCTTGAGCCTAGAAAGCTGTGGAGAACCTGAGACATCTTTACATATTTTTTCTTTGCTTTATTGCTCTTTGTTCCATTCAAAATACTTGGTTGTTTTTCTGCTTCTTCTCCATAAAGCAGAGAATAGAAAATGCCAACAGCTTCTTTGGTGCAAAAAGGTGGTTTTATTGAAGCAGAAGGACAGGACCTGTGGGCAGAAAGAGCCTCACTGGGTCCTGAGGAGTGGCCCATTATATACTTTCAAGTTGGGAGGGGGTTAGGGATATCGTGAGTCTCAGGAATTTTGGAAGCAAGGTTTCCAGGACCTTGCGGGGGCTAGCTCTTGTTGGGAAAAGGCCATTTATTACCGTCTAATAAAACCTGATCCATGAGACCCTTCAGATGTATATCTGTGGGTCATTTGCAATTGCCAACGCGTATCTTGGAGAGGGAGGGTAGAGATAAAGGAAGTTTCGGAAGGAATTTTTATATGATAAAGTAGATTTACAGGATCCTGGGGTTTGGGCTAAGATTGCCTGTTGCTCTTAGCAAAGTATTAATATTAAGGCAGTTGAGTCCCTAGAGGAATGTCACTCTGCCTGTTTCAAGGACTTGTCAGTAGGCTGTAGGTAGTAAGGAAATTTAATAATTTTTGTCTGCCTTTGTTTCCCCACATCATTATTTACAGGAAGTGAATGTTGAATTTGAAGCTTATTCCATCTCCGATAAGGATTATGACGGAATTAAGAAGTTACTACAGCAGGTATGGTCTTTACCCGTCTGCACAAATCTCTTCTAAGAAAATCAGGCCATTCTGCACAAGCTAGGTCAGATTTCATCCTTTATTTTAGAATTCACATTCTTATTCCCTCTACCCTGCAGAGAAGGAAGGACAGTTTCTCTTTTCTTCTCAGGCTAACTCCCGTTGGAGCCTCTGATTCATATGTTAATAAGTGCCCTGGGTGCTAAAATACCTTCCTTTTCATGTGCTAATTATTTGAGCTACTCTACTGTTTTTCTCTTATCCTGTCTAAGCTTTGTGGGGCGGAAGAATTCTTCCATAGTTCCATCGCTGAGTGCACCAGCTGGTGCTGCAGAATCAGGCTTGCTGCTTCTACACAGTCCTCACCCATGTACGGTGGCTTTGGTTTTACCCTTCAGAGCTTCCAGTGTCCAGGCACCACATTCTTTGGCCTTTTGTCTGTCCTTCTCCTCCCCTCCCCCACACGTCCTGTCTTACCCCTGACTGTCCCTTCAGTTTGATTTCCTTGAGCTTTGATTTTTCTGGGCTTTTCCTTTCCTCCTGGGATCGCTCTTTTGAGGTGTCTTTTTCATCATTGATATTTCATTGTTTGCATATGGATATTAGAAGTTTCATTAAAAATTATGCTTTGATTTTCATTTAAAATAAGTTTTATTTTCCCTCCTCTTAGCTTTTCCTGAAGGCTCCTGTGAACACGGCAGAACTAACGGATCTCTTAATTCAACAGAACCACATTGGGAGTGTGATAAAGGTAAGCAGGACAGTTATGCTTGTTCTGATTATTTTTTTGTCCTGTTAAGATCCTCCTGATGTTTAGCTGGTAGGCCAGGAGCTCAAACTGGAAAGAGGTGT